GGGGGGGGGCCCCCTACATATGAAGTTTTCACGTGATGCGGCGATCTCGAGGATTCCAGCCCCTCACTTGCTAAAGCAAGGACAACTCCAGCTAGCTGGTGCTAGCTTTCGTGACAATGGACCCCCTCCTTTGCAGAAAGCGGTTTGGCATTGAAATCTGACCTGGAATTTCTTGAATCCTAGTAGCTCAGCCCCCCACTATCCATCGACACAGTAGCAGCACAATTGACACCAACACCTCTACCCGAGGACAAAAAAGGATGGCGCTCTTCTTGGTCGCCCTTTGAATTCTCTCTTCTCTGCAAAGAGAACGTCGTCCTCTGTTCTGTTTGTTGAATTGAGGTCATATGAGCGAGCGCCATGACCAAAACCTATGCGCACAAAAGCGGAAGAACTCCATGTTGGTATCGCTTTTGGTTGTTAGCCATATCGCTTTACAGTGTTTCGGATGCCGTGTCATTTTTCTGCAGACTTGCTCTTGAAATCACAACAAGAGTGAACTACACATGGATATGGAGAGAGTGAGAGAGAGAGAGAGAGAGAGAGTGAGCTCTACTGTATTGGCTCAAGCCATTTTGGCTCAAGATTTGGCTCAAGTCGGGGTGCACCTGGCCTGGGCTTTGCTAGTCACTTTGCGGACCCAAAGGTCATAGCCATCCCTTCGAGACTGGGTCCGAGGCGGGTGACTTCACCTTTGCTCGCAATAGAGATTGAGGAGCTCTTTGTCTTGGAAGAGCGCTATGGTGTCACCTATGTGGGAAGGGTGGTCCTACCCTAAGCGAGCAAGGCGCAGATCCTATCTGTGCTGTTCAGGCTGTGCAGCCTCATGGATTTGGGCTGATCGAGTCAATGAATCGAGGTGGAAGTGCGACAAGTGCAATACAGCCTGGCCACAACAGGACTGGGCCACAGCTATGACGAGATCACCAAAGAGACCACAAAGATCCCGCCGTGACAGGACAGTGCTTGTTGAACGACCCCCTGGACTGAGCAAGCCAAAGCAGGCAATCAGAGTGGTTGAAACCAGTGTGGTTGAAACCACTCTGAAGAAGGCATGGGGCACTATGCCGAAAGAAGCTCAGGATGCCTTGAAAGGAATGGGGATTGACTACACGCCGGAACCAGAGAATCCACCGCTGGAAGAAGTGCTCAAAGCTCACTTGGACTCCCTTCCATCTGAGGTGAAGGATGCAGTGGTTGGGCTGATCAAACCCACTCCCACCGTGGCTGTTGATGTCACTGGGCAATTGAAGGCAACAGTTGGGGAATTGCGACAGCTAGCCACGAAAAAGCAGTCGCTACAGCGGAAGGTTGATCAAGCAAAAGAGCAGTACAAAGTATTGCTGGATGAACTCAAGCTTGTCCAAGAAGCCATTGACAAAGAGCACAAGCAGTTGGGCGATCAGTCGGCGGCCTATGCCAAACAATTGAAAGATGAAGCAGTCACGGAGCCCGCTACAGGGGAGCATGTTTTGGGTAGTGATGCCACAGAGCATGTACTCAAGGCTCTGGGTCAGGCTGGCATAGTTTTCAATGCCACTCAACAGCAGGAGTTGGAGAGGAACTTGGCTGAAACTTTGGCCAAGCGCCGCAAGACTGATGAAACTCAGTTGTGCGGGTAACCTCAGCTGGACAAGTGTTGGAAAAGAAAGAGGTTTTTGGGCCTGCAACACTCCAGTGATGGGGTCCTGGAGTCAGCTTTTGGGGACATCAAGCACAGGGAAGTGTTTGACCTTTTGGAGGGATGAGCAATCTCCTCTGCAAGAGTGTTTGAGTGTTTGGGTACCGTGGGAAGGCATGAGCACTTGTGGGGGAGCAAGTCCGCATGCTGTGAATTTTGAGAGTTGGCAACATGCAGCTGGCGTTGTCTGTCACGACTTGGATCGCTTTCAAGGCAGGCAGCCGTATGTTGCATGGGAACGATGGTTTGACAATCCATTTCCTCATGATCAGGACATGCACACTCATGACATCAGTGTTGGAGGGGAGCCTTCCTTTTCCACCTTTTGTAGACCGGGGCGATGCATGGCGGCGGCTGATGAAATGGATGATGCAAGCAATCCGTTGGCTGGTGCACATCAGCCAGGAACGGAGGAGCCTAAATGCAAAGAGACTCAGTATGAAGAGCAGATCGACACCCATGAATCAAAGCATACGTGGGCTAGCTCGGCTGCGCAAAGGTCTATGACAGAAGGACCTTGTGACGATGAAGGTGCAATCAGACTGACCGGGGCACCGCCATTGAGGAGATCAGAGCAGCTGGGGTCACCCAGACTTGCTACTAGCGGGACCCTGGAAGGTACTGATGAGCATCATACAAGACCCACTGAGGTTCTACGAACCACACAGCAGCAGCTCCTTGGAGGGGGTAAGAGAGCTCGTGAAGATCAGGTCTGGGAAGATGGGCCAGACCAACAATATACAAGCCCAGGGAGGCTTCAAAACAGGTTGCAATTGCTTCAGCAACGAGCCAAAGAGGCCATTGATGGCCTACCAGTTGAATGTCGTGATGATGTTCAGTTTGGTATGCATGAAACCAGGGTATGGGGCTTGGAGGCCCTAAAGCATGTTCTGAAGATGCGACTTGCATTGCAGAGCAATCTCTACTTGTGTAGACCTGTTGAAACAGAGCCTGCTATCCCGCCTTCAGTTGAACTCTTGGCAGCAAACTTGACGTTGAACATTCACAACAAAGGCAATCGGTGTTATGCCAATGCCGTTCTACGGATGTGGTGTTGGATGGGAGCTCATCATCCAGATCCTGCTGCCTTTTGGGGGCCATCTACAAAGTTGTGTATGCAAATCCTGCAACAAGATGAGATCCCTGACCTTTTCTGGGCCTCGGAATTGCAACCGGCCATAGCTAGGCTGGAAAACCCGCAAAGCCAACACGATGCCTCGGAATTCCTTGTTCATCTTTGGGAACTATGGGGGCAGACCGGGCTGCAAGGCAATTGGCATGCACATTTTGGTGGCAGGTGGCATGAGTATGACACCATTCCGCTGTACATTCGGATGCCTGTTGAAATGGGTGAAGAAGTGCAATTTGAACAGTTGCTGGCAGAATGGGCCAATGAGGGCAATGGGCAGTGTTTGGGGGCAGATGTTGAGCACATTGTGTTCCATGTGGGCAGGTACCATTTGTGCCCTCAGAAAAGTCCTGGATCAAACATCACCACCTCCTGCACACGCCTTCCACTTTCAGATGCCCTCAGCGGACACAAGCCGGCCACACGGGACAATCCACTTTTGTCCTTCGGGGCATCATTGGGCATCAAGGCCCTCAGCTCATTAGTGGGCACTATGTCACCATGCTGGTGGAAGGGGAGGCTGTGTGGATAGCTGATGATGGCAGATGTCCTGAGCCAAGGAAAGAAGTGCCCATAGACATCAAGAGGGATGCAGTGATGATCTGGGCATCACGGGCAGAACAATCCAGTTTCTGGACCACCTCTGTCGGACATTTTGAGCCACCGGAGAAGAAAGCAAAACACCCCAATCAGGAAATTGAGATCCTCTATGCCAACATCACCCAGTGGACTAAGGATTCCAAAGAATGGTTGATTCAGCAGCCAAACTCCATTGTCATGATGGTGGAAACGCACCTCAACCACCTGAAGATGGATGGTGCCCACAATGAATTGTGCCGTCATCGGTGGCAACCGTGTTTCCTGGCGGCACATGACACTGGAAGAGGGGGCAACAGTGGAGGGCAGCTTTTCTGCTTGCGAGAAGGGCAGTGTGGCTACCGCCTCCATTCCTTTGATCTGGAAGGCCATGGGTTCCTGGCCAATGTCTTGCAGCGACAGAGGTGGGAACTTGTGTTGATTTCGGTGTACCTCAAGTGTGGGGAGGACCTCAACTCCACTGCTAACTCCACAATCCTTGGGGAGCTGGCGGCTTTTGTCCAGCAATTGGCAATTCCCTGGATCGCAGTTGGGGACTATCAAGTGCCTCCAGAACAATGGGAAGGTCACAACCTGCTGAACGTTCTTAAAGCAGACCTGATCTGTAGTGGACAACCCACCATGGTCACTGGAGCTGAGCTGGACTACCTCATTGCTTGCCGTTCAGTGGCTCCTTTCATTGACCTGAAAGTGACTTGGGATGTCCCATGGAAGCCCCATGCGGGGCTGGTCATCAAAGTGGACCAGGAGGCTCCCAGACTGGTGCTGCCGCAGCTGACTCAATACCTGGCAGTTCCGAAGCTTGATGACCAGGTAAGTTCCTGGGAAGAGTTCCAGCCAGCACCTAAACCATACTGGTTGGGCAGGCCTATTGGACCCAAAGAGATCATCTTTGCTGAGTGGTGCCATCAGGCTGAGCAGTTCAACCTTCAAAGGCTGCATGAGCCAAAACAAGGCAGAGGATGGTACCTTGCCCTGGAGCACAAACCTTTGCCTTTGTCCAAGCCGCTCACTCCATGGAAGAAAGGGGACCTGGCCTATTGGGGGCAATTCTGCTCCCTGTTGCAGCACATCGCCAGCAAGCCTTTCCTGTCGGCTGGCACCATGAATCATTTGAGGGCCAAAACTGCTGATTTGCACCTGCGATGGCAAAACGTTCATGGGCTGGAAGATTTCACTGCAGGTGTCGAGATGCTCATTGCTGGCGAATCCACACCGCTGACACTGCTCATTCAGGGTGCGGAGTGCAACAAGGAGTTTGCAAAGAAACTTGCATTGGAGCAGCAAGCAGGTGAGTATCAGCAATGGTTGTCCCAAGCCAAGTTGAAAGGACACAGTGGCATCTACAAGTGCTTGAAGGCGCCTGATTGTGTCCATGTGAGGCCCTTTCGAGATGTGCCCATTCAGCAGCGACAAACTTTGCGAGAACAGCAATGGTATAGCAAGTGGCAAGTCATTGCTGGCCCGAAGACGAGCGGTGAAAGGGAGCGGCTTCGCTATGAGGGCATTGTACAAGCCAGAAGCTGGGAAGATCTGGACCCGCATGCTGTGATGAAGAAGCTGCAGAAGTTGCCCCAAAAGGCCTGCGGGCCGGATGGCATCAGCTATGCCATGCTAAAGAACCTGCCGATCGAAGGTGTCATCGAGATGTGCCACATGATGAGGAAGTGGGAGCTCTCTGGCAGGCTGCCAGACCAAGTGGTCACTACATTAGTGCTGCTGCTTCCAAAAAAGGTTGACATAGAGCGCCCAATTTCGCTCACCAGCGTGATGTACCGCACTTGGTGTCGGCTCCGATGGGACAAAATCAGAGAGTGGCAGTCGACAATCGGTCAACGTCTCCCGTGGGAGCGAAGCCTACCGGGTCATCAAGTCCTTCAGGTTGCTCTTATGCGGCTGTTGAAATGTGAAGTAGGCCGAGCCACAGGTCGACAAGTCATCTCGCTGCTCCTGGACCTGCAAAACTTTTACGATGCAGTGCAGTTAGAGCAACTGTTGGAGTTGTGGGAGCCACTTCAGTTTCCGCCTGCAGTGATGAACATGATTTACGAGGTCTACACCGGGCCGAGGCTGCTCCAAGCTGAAGGTGTGACATCATCTGCAGTCCACTGTGCGAAAGGAATGTTGGCTGGATGTCCAGCGGCTCCTCTGGTCGCTAAGTTGGTCCTTGCTCCTGTCCTCCAGACTTTTCAGGAGAAGTTTCCTCAGGTCTCGGTCGACGTCTGGGTGGACGATATATCCATGGACTTTACTGGAGATGACCCACACAGTGTTTGCCAACAAGCGCTGGCAGGTTATGATGAGATCAAGCATGGACTTGAGGAAATTGGCCTTCAGCTTTCGCCAAGCAAGACAGGGTTTTTGACGTCCACTGTTGAAGCCAAGAGGTCCATCAATCTCCATCGCAATGACCAGCAGCCGAAGGCACACGACCTACTGAAGGATCTCGGCCTGGACTCAAGTGGTGGCCGGAGAAGACGCATTGGCAGCCAGCAGAAACGGCTTCTGAAAGGGAGTGGCCGGCAATCCAAACTACTCCACCTGAAATTGAAGTCCAGACCGGTGCGCATCAGGGTGTGGAAGACCTCAATCCATTCAGCTGTTGGCTTTGGGGTTGAAGCACAGGGCATGGCGCCTCAGAGGATGCGCACCCTACGCCACCAGCTTGCTCGCCATGGAGGGTTGCAGAAGAAAGGAAGCATTGACATTGTGTTTGACCAGCACAGCCAGCTTCAGGACCCTCAAGATACGGCGGTGGAGAGACAGCTAAAGGCCATGCATCAGCTGATCAGAGCATGGCCAGCAGGTCGCAAAGGAGACCTCATGTCGGCATGGCGAATCTCTTGGAGGAGGCTCCAAACAGCGGCTCACCCGTGGATGATCGTGGCTGGCCCCATGGCTGCTTTACAGGTTTATCTCATGGAGATGGGTTGGGACGCATCAGTGCTTGATGACTGGATCAGGCCAGCAAAAGGCTTGCTACCTGCGAATCAACTCAGTCTGGATTTTCCATGGTTGTACTTGCAACGTAAGCTGCAGCAGGAGCAAAAACATCAGAGGGCCAGAAGAATCCAGGAGTTGGAGCATTGTTTTCCCCTCATGAAGCAGCCTGATTGGACCGTATACCATCGTGTCATCAAGAAGCTCAAAGGACCGGCCAGAGCTGCATTGGATGCGTGGACGCAGGGCTCCCTGCGTACTCATGATGCTGGTGTTCGAGTTATGTGTCCACTGTGCCAGCTGCCTGTCTCCATGAAACATTTGGTATGGCAATGCAAGTACCATGAACAAGCCCTTCCGAGGGACTGGCAAGATAGCATCAATGCCAATGAAGACCAGATGCTTTGGGCTCGGGGGCTTATTGAAGAGCCACACTATGCGCCAGCTGAAGGGGTGGACTCATGTGAGGTTGCAGGCATCTTGGCAACTGGGTGGCCCATCAGAATCACTCCTTCCCACCGGGTGGCCATTGGGGTGAAAGCCACCTGTCATGATAAGCGGCTGAAGCAGTTTGTCGTGGCGCTGACAGTAGGCACCTGGCAAGAAGGGTCCTGGCAGATTGCTGGCACGTGCACTGCGGTTACGCCTGGCAGTGCAACTGAAGCGCGTGGCTGGATCTTTGGCTGTTGGCTCCTGCTTCAGGCTGTACTGGGCCGGCATCAGTTGAATATTCCTCATCGAGCAGGATGGACAGCGCTTCAGAAAGGAGGAGGGAGCAAAGTGGCACCGGACCTGTGGTACAACCTGCCAGAAGATGAATGGAAAAGGCTGCAATTGCTGCATGTGCCACCGAAGCTGCTGAAGGAAGAGGGCAAGACCTCGCGTGGTTGGATTCAGTTTGTGGAGGCAAAGCATGTGGCAACGCAGCGTGCCATGAAGGAGGCACCTACTGGGCTTGCAGCCGAGTTGAAGGCTGCGGACCAGAGACATCAGGCCATCTATGAGGTAGCCGCTGCTCGAATCAGTGCCATCCTGGCTGATCGTGACCATTACATGCATGGGGAGTTGGAAAAGGTTGAACATGAAGTTCGTGTGCCCATGCCCAAGCCCAAGCTGGGCAGAGTGGCGCTCTTCAGTCAATTGGTGCAGCAAACCTCCAGTGAAGAGCAACACAAGTGGCAGCATCACCGACAAGGAGTAGTCTGTGAACGGTGTGGCAAGAGGATCAAAGCATGCAGCACTTTTGAAGAAATCAACCGGAAGCAGGCCACTACCTGCCCTGGTGCAGTGACCAAGACCCTCAAGCAAGTCATGACTGAGCTGATTCATGACACTGAAGGGATGCTGGAGGCACAGCCAGGTCACAAGTGGGAGATGACGGCCACTAGCTTTGGTTGTGTCCGGTGCTGGAGCAAGATTCCCCTTCGCTGCAGCAAGGCAGTCTTGGACCACTTGGCGGCCACCGATTGCAAGTGTGGAAAGTTTGATGAGCAAGGGTTGCAACTTCGGACTCGTGTCCACCCCTCACATGAACTGTGGAGGCGAGGAAGCTGGCTAGAATGTCGGCAGTGCAAGAAGACGAGCAAGGAGCAAGAAGGCAGAGTCCAACAGTGGGTGGCCAAGCATTGCGTCAAGGGCAAAGGCCAGCAGACACTTCGTTTTGGTCCCAGCTCCAGCAGCTGACAGAGCTAGAAGCTCGAGGTGCAACTTGCAAGGCGAATGATCCTTGAGTTGCTAGGAGGCCATTTTTGCCAAATGGTGTGGCCTTGAACGGCGTGACGGAAAAGAACCGAGAAAAAAAAAAAGCTCTACTGTATTCTATTGACACAGCAGCCTTTCCTTCTTCTTTTCCTAGAGCTTTACACTCAGGCATCCTCACAATCGTTTTAAATAAGGCAAGATAGGAGCTCCTTCTCATCTAGACAACATGTTGATCTTTCCTGGCAGGGTATCGCTGAGGTATCGCTTTATGTAAAGCAACACAAGCAACAATATGAGTGTTATCAAATGATCGAGGTGTACCTTGCGAGGACAACACTCTCGGTTGTTCACTAATTATATCGCTTTGCAGGGTTCCCTCATGATTTCTATGCAAAACGTCAAACGCCTGTCACATAGGAACAAGAAGCTACTAGGGGCTCCTGGCATCGCTACTAGGAGCAAGGACGCTACTAGGGGCAAAGGGCATCGCTACTAGGAACAAGAAGCTACTAGGAAAAGACTTGTGATGTTGCTCACATGTCTTTCCGTCTTCCCCTTCCCGAGGCCCAGCCCCTTTCACAGATGAGCAGCTAGATTTGCTCGACCCCAAGCGCTTGGAGGCTGGCTTGCTGCTGCCCATCCTACTCCATGGCGCAAGGCAGCGCTAAAAGGGAGCGAATGGTGATGCCAAGAGCCTACTTGATACTTTGCCAGGGGCGACCAGCGAAGCATGCGAGTTCAGCTGAGTGTTGCATTTGCTGAACTATTGTCTCCTCAGTTTGCCATATATGGAAGGCTATGACACCCGTCGTGGAGCTTGTGCAAAGAAGCTCAAGCCTTGATGTTTCACCTCAGTCAATGATACTTGCTGCTCCAGGTTGTCAGAAATATTCATCCAATTGCCTAGTGCAAGTCAAGTTCATCATCCCGTCATCCTCATGGCCCTTCTTGGGGGCATGAGCCACAAAACAGCGCGATCAACATCTGCACGCCCACCCCACCTTTCCAGCTACTCGGGTGGGTGTTCTTTTTCGACCGCCAAGCAGTCACCCCCCAATTCTCAACCACCCACTCATGGGTGCACAGCCTCATTGGTCACATTAAAGCTCTCCCTTTTCGGCGGCTGCCCTCAATCAGGGAGATGTGTCGCATGTCGCGGGGATCCAGTGGGCAACTTGGGGCACCCAATGGGAGTCCTGCAGGCTTTCCCAGGCAGAAGCCCTCCAACCGCTCCCCCCAAGTGCCGCAAGCAGTCCTCCCAATCCACAGCTCCTGAGATTCGGAGGAATGCAGCAATGCATAAATTATATCTATAGTCTATAATTATAGGACATTCCAGAGATGTCCATATAATATCATACAATATACTTCTTTGAGTAATTATGTGTAGGCCATTGGGCGATAAGGTGTCCAAAAACTATCAGTGGATCAGGCGTTGCCACATCCCTTGAGTAGTGCGGATGGGCCTTTCAAGCTGAACCGCAGCACGCACGTTTCTGGCAAGCCGGTGCAACCTGCCCTCAAAACACATATGCCGCAGTATAATACATTAGCATACATTAGCACTTAGGCTTCGTTAAAATGAGGTCATTAATTACTACCTCAAATTCTCGCTATCACCTCCAGGCTCCGCCCCGGGCCACTCCCAGGCAGTCCTGAGTTGTCTTTGTCACAGTCGGCGAACAAGCGGCTCACGGTGTCCACATAGTCCTGGACTAACTTGTAGATCCAGAACGGAACCCATGCCGCAGTGGTCCCAAAAACGAGCGGCTTTGACCAAGTCCGGCTACTTAGAGCACAGCTTTGTCACTGGGAATGGTTTCAACCTCAGCCTTCCAAAGATCTCTGCGTGAACGACCCGTGTGAACATCGTCCTGTCGTGCACGCATCTCCTCCATCATGCACATCTCCTGTGAAGGCAAGAAGGGCAGCTGAAACGCAAAAATCATCAGACACCTTTAAGGATATGAAACCTCATAAACCACTCAAAAAATACTCAAAGCCCAAAGCTTGATTATCAATGTTGGTGGACAAGCGCACCATTCACACGCCACCGTTTACCTTGTATACGGTTGTAGTTGCTCACATGCTGATTCCGACCCCATTTTAGGATCGTCGACCATGCTTGTCCCTGGTTCACCGCTATCCACCGTCACTTGCTCAGCTCATTCTGCTCACGGCAGCACTCCTCATCAGCGGAGGTCATCTTGCTGGCGTTCTCCACAAAAACACCCGTCATCACGTTCAAAACGCAAAACAAAGCAAAGGCCATGTAGACCTGAAAGAAGAAGGAACACTTGAAAAACGATCGCTCACGGAACCACTCCACAGTGTCACTAGCAGCAGAATGAACACCGGGTTCAACCAATGAGCAAGCGCACCGGTCTTCCTGACAGCCAAGCGACGCAAAAGAGCAGGCCCAGCAACCAGCTGACTTTCATGAGCTTCACTGCCACTTCTCCCCAGTCCACCCCACCAGACCTCAGAAATCGATTACAATCTCATCTGTGGTAATCTGTGGAATTGGGATGGTTTGGCTGTTTAAAGGATATTGGCTAGGAAACTAAGAAACTTACACTATCACATACCATCACTATCGGTGTCTTTGTGCTGCACACTGCAAGTGTCCAAAACTTGAAGTCAACGAGTGCCCGCTTTCTGATTGGTTCCCACGGGATGCCCGAGACTTCTTTGATCTGACAGCCTTGAAGGAGGAAGTTGGCTGCCACAGGAGTCGCGCCGTCCCAGCTCTCCGTGGACGGAGAAAGCTCAAGTCACCCGAAAGGAAAAAGTGAGTTGCGTCATGTTGCCTCCACCAGTCACAGGAGTCACCTCTAGCCACCGGACGTGGCATTTATCGTGCAAAATAGAAAAGTAGCTTCAGAGATCAAAGCACTTCATGAGCAAACATCCCGTCCACCGGCTGCAAGGGTTCACAATGTTGCTATACTACAGTCATTAGCCAAACAGGGTTTAACTCTCAATTCTGGAAATTCCGGGCAGTTATCGACGACGACACTGATTCACTTCAAGAACTCGTGCTTCAGGATATAACCCAACAATTCCAACACATCTCAGCGCGAGCCACCGAAACTCACCTCTCCAGTCTGAGCTCCGCACATGGCCTGGAAGAGGGTGAAGATTCCCAAAACCCTCGGCCGGATGATCATCAACGGGGGCAATTTTTTTTCGACCTCTAGTTTACCTTTAGTGTGCCATCTCTGCCTGAGCTCCACTACTCGGAGGTCATGGGTTCACTTAGCGAGGCACTTGTTCCTAGTAGCGATGCACTTGTTCCTAGTAGCTTCTTGTTACTCCTTATAAGGATGTGGTTGACAACCACTCGATGACATTTCTTGATGGCTATATCATGCTGTATCATTGCTGTGGGAAACAGCTCTCGGCCTGGGACCTGCCATCCCCCCGAACGAGTTTGTCGTTCACTCGTTCGCAACATGTTCTCCTTTTGGAGAAAAAAGGGGAGGAGTTTTCTTGTGAAGGGGAACAAGGCTGATGAAAAGAGTCACTGATTAATTCTCTCTGTGCCACCTCTCACAACAAGCCTGCTCTTGAACAAGGGGCCAAGTGTCTAAACTCATCTCACTGGGCTTACTTGCAGAGTTCAATCTGTCCACCGTCGTCACCGCTGATCCTAGATCTGGAGCTCAACTCCGCACAATCCCGAGCATCTGATGAACAAGCATCCCAACATCCAACCCCACTGGATGCCCATGCCAAGTGGCATCGAGCCAAAATCATTCATGAGGTCCTGCCGCTCAAGCTCTTGATCGCTTGTTAAGCCAGCCAGGTAAGGCCGCAACAACCTGCCGCAGCCGAGCCGACCATTGTTGGGGGGGGGGGGTTGACGTCGCAGCCTATAGCCGCAGAAGAAAACATGTAGAAAGCTGTAGGGAGCAGTCCAGCTGCACGCCTTCAGTATACGTAAGTTCTTGATCATCCAGCTCCCAACCAAACAGAAACCAGGAAGATCCCACCTACAGGACATGCTCCTTGTGCCGAGGTATCGGTTGACTCTGACCACTTGTACAAGTTGAATGGATCATCATCATCATCATCATCATCATCACAAGCTGGGTAATTGTGTTTGTTAAAGAGCCAACGCGGCTCCTGCCACGGCCAGTTTCTTGTTGCAAAACGTTGGGATTTGAAGCTACTATGTCACTACGTGACTGCAGTCACATCAGGGCCCGCCACAGTTCAAATATGTTCAAAACCAGTCAAAGGGCATCCGCTTGTTCAACACCCAAGGACAGCATAGGGCATAGGGAACATCATTGAACATTGGAATTGCCCAGCGTGGTTGTGTGCAGCCTCACTGAGACACATTAAATCAAAGTGGTTGACCTCAACAGACCGAACAAATGCTGCACTCAATAAAATGGAAAAGCTTGATGTTGTAGATAAACTATGATAGAAACTGTTAGAAACTCATATAAACTGCTTCAATGGAAGCTTGTGCTTTGTCCAACGTCCAATGCCAGAACGCCCACATTCCAGGAATGTCATGTTCTTAGGCCGGCACTGGCAAATGCACACGGTCACAGAGAACCTGGGATGACATGCAGTGGTGGCTGAACAGGACCAACCCTTATATTCTTGGAACACATCACCAAGATAGGATTAATATGAGGATGAAAGTAAATAATAAAGAAAAAATACATATGAAGGTGAACGACATTGGCAGTGGATTTGAACACATCATCTTGATATGGAGGCGATCCACAGGCAGGGCAGTCGACAACTTTTGTTATACTAGGCTGAGAAGAGATAGGACTAGTGCCCCAAAATGAGTTGGGACTCTGGGGCCACTAGTCCTATCTCACATGTGCAAAATACAGGCGTCTTCCATAGACAAATTGCAATGAGATAGGAGTTGTGGGTTGTGGACATGTTTTTTTTTTGGGGGCGGGGGGTGGGGGTAGCTGCTGAAGTGTCCTGGCAAATGTGATTTTCATATGTCCCAAGTATTTATCGTAAACAAAGCAAATCATCAAACCTTGCATGCAGCAGATAGAAAGAAGTACGCTCTGTTCTTTCCCTGCCCGTGCCTTCTGCTGTGTTCTTCAAGTCAGTTTGCGCTTTCAGCACTTGTACGTGCCACTGAAACTTGTTTTTGCAGTAGCACTTTGGATTTACGAGCTCAGCCAGATGGGCCAGATGCCCTGGCATGAAGCTCCCATAAACATGACACAACTCCCATGACACCACCTCATCACCCCCAAACAATGCAAGGCCTCGGATCACCTGGAGTGATCTCTAGTGATTCTCTCTTTGCATAGTTTTGCTTGATTTCCCTGATGAGATGGGATTTGTGGAAGCTCTAAAAACATGGTTGCACGCTGATGAGATAGGACTGGTGGTTGGCGACGTACATTTTACAAGTCCCATCTCATCTGGGCCTAGTATACCAACACGAGAACCGTCTGAGGCGCATGCTGGGGACATTCCTTTTACATCCTTTTACAGTAGTTTCAGAGTAGATGGCACAAAGCCCAAGAAAGGTCTATTTAGATGAGGGTCCATATAAACCTCTTTGGAGATTGTGCAATCTACGCCGAAACCACTATACTAACCAGTCCTCTCCTCCTTCCGCGATGCCAACCTGGTTTGTCTGCCTCG